ATACAGAATCATCTGTGAGGGACAAAAATACAGATTCAGTATTTCTGCAGCTTTAACAAAGGAAACGATGTGTTTTCAGTAAGAGGCGAAACTCTCACTTTTTCTCAGCTCCTATGTTCCTCATCAGCGAGTCCACCTACACAGAAAAACCTGCGACCGGCTGTTCTCTTAAGTTTCTCCTGAGGCATGCTGGGAAATGCAAGAAAGTGCTAAGTGCAGCTGATGAGGATGAGAGGATTCAGTTATAACAAAAAAGAAAATTAGACAAATATTTCACAGAATAACCTTCAGAGCATCGCACGCTGATGATGTATAATGCTGTGCCAACAACGTGCCTGAAGGTGGATTTTTCCTCAGAGTTTGATATCAGGGTGGTGTGGGTGTAGCGTAGGTGAACAGCCCTTTTGGAGAAACAGTTACATCACATCCTGTGCATCGGCAGATATATACATTTTTTTACTTCAAGAAACGCCCATTTTCAAAATGTATTCACTTGAATCGCCTCCAGGTTTCAGACGTGTACTGTTTACTTTGGTTAATTTAGTTTGCGCTGCAGTAAAAGATAGAAGTGAGGTAATTAAACAAGGTGATAAAATGAAGCCACAACTGACAAATGCAGCAGAAACACAATTTGTGCGGCGGTGATAGATGACAGAGGAAGCTGGGCTGTAATAACGGTGGCTTCAAAACAAAAAGAACGGAATTTGATAACAAAATCCAAATGGCTTTAAAACACAGCGTGATGGACGACGGCGGGGAAAAAAACAACAGTGTTCATAAAAAATAAGCAGAAAAGAACATGAATAACAGAGATGAAGAAAAGCTGTCCCAAGGGGGAGTTATTGGAAACGAGTGGGAGGAGGAAGGAGGAAGAGGCTGAGTGTTTCATCACCGGGGAAGCTTCAAGCTGTTTTGTTCAGACACTCGAAAGCAGTGGATTTTAGCAATGACAGGAAGCTGTCTCGCCAGACGATGAAATAAAACAGCAGATAACTGGAGAGAACGGGAGATCGGAAAACTTCAAATTCACTGTGCCATCTCCGAAAAGTGTAACGCTTATTGTTTGAGTCAAGAGCCCAAAGTTAAATTAATCTGAAGCAACGTGTGTGTAGTCAAAGCCTAATCTGATGAGCCACAGGGCTAAATGGTAAATGGACTGATTCTTATGTAGCGCTTTTCTACTCTCACGGAGTACTCAAAGCGCTCTATACAACATGCCTCATTCACCCAATCACACCCATTCAAGCACTTTATCTACACTTAGTGCTTTCTAACGACATTCATACTCCGATCGAGCAAGTTGGCGTTAGTATCTTGCCCAAGGATACGTGACATGCAGACTGGAGGAGCTAGGGATCGAACCACCGACCTTCTGATCAGTAGGTGACCTGCTCTACCTCCTGAGCGACAGCCACCCAGGAGGTAGAGCAGGTCACAGCTGCATGGTTGCACTGGGTGATGCGTTTACCACCAAATATACATGCTTCATTTAATCCAGTCCCACATTCATCAATGCTATCCCAACTATGCCCTAATTAATGCTAAAAAATAGCCCTTAAAGAAGGCTGTTTTTATCAAATGTGTAATGTCAACAGTTTTAGAGGCACTACTGAATTTTAGGGCTAAGATTTACTTACAATTCTTATTCCAAAAGCCCAAATGTCAATGCCTGGCTGTACCTCACAGTAAACCATCTAAAATGCTCTAAAAGGCCACAAACTTGAACAATGCCCGTAGGCCTTATTTTTGTCCTTGCAGATCCAGACGTGAGGAACAGGAGACCAGTGTTGCCAACTCCTCAGTAAGGAAAATCGCTATTGGTTGTCCTAAAAGTCGCTAAATGTCTTCATTGCCTAATTTGCATAATTGGTCATGCTAATCTAATTGTAACCTACGTTGTTGGAGAGAGAAATAACATCGTGGACCAGACATAAAGTGAGTAAAATACGTCCTAATGCATTTAGAAATTATTTATTACTACAAATTAATATTTTTTTTAGCAATTATTGATTTTTTAATGTCACAATTCCAACCCTGCTCCTTTATCCGGGCCGGCAAAAGTGACCCGAAATATGCACTCTGGTGGAGTTACTGTGTGTGTGAGTGTTTATAAGTAGTTTTAAACCTTGTGATCCACAAAACAGCATAACAGTAAAAGAAGAACTGACTGCATTACAGTCAGTGCTGGAGCAGCGGCTTCGCTCATGCATGATTCATTTGCAG